TCGTCACCCATATTGGGGGCGAAGTGAAGCAATTGAGAGATAATGTAGGGAAGTTTTGTGAGGGCGCCATTCAGGGTGCCAAAAATGTAGCCATTGTAGAGGGAGAGGCCAGACCCCGTAAGGACCCAGTGAAACTCAAGTTCCCAGATGCGTACGGGGGGAAGAAGGAAGATAACTTTGACAACTGGGAAGCCAGTGTCAACAGTTATATTTACTTGCAACATATCCTAACAGAGGAGCAAGTCCTCTTGGCCTTCCAGGCCCTGAAGGACGAAGCAGCTAGCTTCGCCAGGTCTCTCGCGCGTACAACCGGTTGTGAAAACATCCTGGTTGCATATTCCAAAGTCACTCCTCTTTCCCAATTCCTCAAGCTCCTCAAGGAGCGGTTCGCTAACCCAATGCGAGGCATTAGAGCCTCTGATAAGCTTCAAACGATCCACTCCCAGCAGTGGAGGAGTGCCAAGGCACTCAAGGGTACCATGGACGACTTGGTAGCCGTCCCGGACCATGGGGTCACTGAGCCCCAGCTGGTCCAGTTGTTTTATCGTGCCATTCCAGAGGCCCTACGCGGGCATTTTATTGCCAAATCTCAGCAGGCCGGCATGACTTACGATGTATTGAGTAGAGAAGTCGTCCTGTATGAGTCGAAGTCTATGTCAATTACCACTTTCTGGCATAAGGACCTGGACAAGGGGAAGAAGTGGAAAGATCGTACCATCTCGGGCCAAGTCAAGGCCAAGGATCACTTGATCCTGACATTACAGGAGGGTGGTACAGAAGAGGTCCCATATGATCAGATTGAGTGGGGCCTAGGGGAGGAGTACAGTTGTGTAGGGCGGGGGAGGTCTTACGCTGCTGTCGCGGCTGGAGGGGGCCAGGGCCAAAGGGGTCAGACCATGGGAGGCCGAGGACCGGGCGCACAAGGGGTTGGCGGACAGGGAAACCGCCAAGCGGGAGGTAGGGGTCAAGGTCCCCCGTCAAATCGCCAGGGTAATCGGTCCCCACAACGAAGAGGTGGAAGAGCACCTCAAGTAGGTTGGCACCCAGGCTTGCCACAGGGCAGGCCCTGGGAAGACTTGGGCTTGGACCGACAATTATGGCAGTAACTCGTGAACATGGGTCAGTGCGTATTCTGTGGTGACCCGGCGCACGTTATCAAATTTTGTCCAAAGTATAGACAGGCCCGTTGGGCTGCTCAACAGTCAAAAGGCAGCCGCCAGTAGGGGTTGCAACTGCCCCTACTTCAAGGCCATGTGGAGAAGTGAGCGCGCGCGAACAGGACACTCCCAACCCACATGARCCTATGGCAGAGGTTGCAGGCCCGTGCCTAGATAGCTGTCCAGAGACCGCCAGTGTAAGCGTCTCTTTAGGYACGTCCCTCACAGGTGTGGCAGAAGAATTAAAGGAGAGGATGCCAGCTTGGGCCAAAATGAAGGAGAGTAAAGGACAACTGATTTTGGTAGATGTAGAGGTGTTTAGGAGTAGGGTAGGGGSCCTTATAGACTCAGGGGCTACCCGTAGTTATATCAGCCGTAGGGCGCTGAAGAAGYTGAGGCTAGGACTAAAGGTCCAGAAGTTAWTAGACCCTATAGTCAGTGTTCTCGCAGACAACCGCACAATGCGCGTTGAGGATTATGTAGAGGGAGTCCAGGCGTACTTTCGCCTAGAAAAGGATGGGAAGGTGGAGAAAGTTCTCCATTCCCTAACTCTTCTCGTACAAGATGACCTTCCTTTCGATGTAGTGTTAGGAATGGATTGGGGAGAGGCAGCAGGGGCCAAACTCCATCTGAAAGAGCATGAGTGTAGGCTCCCTAGTCCGTCAAGCGAAGTGAAGACTGCTCGCCTGTTCCATGCGTCCGGTGTAGATAACACCTTGGCGCATTGCTGTCTCAGTGCTCCCGCGTTCGCGCGATTAGTAAGAAAGGAGCAGTTAGAGGAACAGGTCTTTGTGGTGTATGTTAGACCTGTCACTGAGGCCGCGGAAAAGGATATTTTCACAGATCCAACAATTGCCAAACTCCTGGAAGAATTCAAAGACTTGACTGAGTCGCCGACAGGAGTAGTGTTGCGACCCATCCAGCACAGGATAGAGATAGAGCCTGGCAGTAGAACTCCTAAGGGTGCAGTCTACAGGATGTCCCCTAGAGAGTTAGAGGAGCTTCGCAAGCAGTTAGACGAACTCCTTGAGAAAGGGTGGATCAAGCCCAGTTCGTCTCCTTTTGGAGCACCCGTTTTGTTTGTCCTCAAGAAGGAAGGAGAGCTGAGAATGTGTATAGACTATAGGGGATTAAATTCGATCACCGTGAAGAATGCTGAGCCGCTGCCCAGGATAGACGATCTTTTAGATCGGGTGCAGGGTTGTAAGTATTTCTCTAAGATAGACTTAAAATCCGGATACCATCAGATAGAGGTTCATCCTGATCATCAGTACAAGACTGCGTTCCGGACTAAATATGGGCATTACGAGTTTATAGTGATGCCCTTTGGACTAACCAACGCGCCAGCTACTCTTCAGCGTTGTATGAATGACCTGTTTAGACCATGGTTAGATAAATTTGTAGTAGTCTACTTAGATGATATCCTAGTCTTTAGTAAGACCCTCCAGGAGCACCAGGGTCATCTGAGGCAAGTCTTGGAGAAGCTTAGAGAGGCTAACTTCAAGATCAATGCGAAGAAGTGTGAGTGGGCCAAGACGCAAGTCTTATACTTGGGCCACGTGTTGGACGGAGATGGCATTAAGCCAGAGGACAGCAAGATCGCGGCGATCAGAGATTGGCCGACGCCCCGCACATTGACAGAGTTGCGGTCGTTCCTAGGCTTAGCTAACTACTATAGGAAGTTCGTAAGGAACTTCTCTACTATCGTCGCTCCCTTGCCCAGGTTGCTGAAGAAAGAGGCAATCTGGCAATGGGACAAAGACTGTACGTCTGCGCTCAAGAAGCTAAAGCGCGCGTTAATAGAATATCCTGTCCTCAAAGTTGCAGATCCGTCTTTGCCATTTGTCGTCACCACGGACGCGAGTCAGTATGGGATAGGCGCCGTGTTGCAGCAAGACGGCGGCAATGGCTATAGACCCGTAGAGTTCATGTCAGCGAGAATGCCCTGTGAGAAGGTCGCTACCTCCACGTACGAGAGGGAACTCTACGCTCTCAGGCAGGCTTTATACCATTGGAAGCACTATCTGCTTGGGAGGCACTTCAAAGTGTATTCGGACCACGAAACGCTTAGATGGTTAAAGACTCAGGCCAAGAGCACACCTAAGTTGACTAGGTGGGCCGCAGAGATAGACCAATTCGACTTTGAGCTCAAGCCAGTGAAGGGCAAGTACAACGTAGTTGCGGATGCTCTGAGTAGGAGATCAGACTACTTTGGAGTTGTAGTACACTATCTAGATATAGGGAGAGACCTGCAAGAGAAAGTGAGGCAAGCATATGTGCAGGACTCTATCTATAGCGACCTCCTAAAAAGAGTTAGAGAGGCCCCAGAGACTGAACCAGATTACCGCACTACAGACGGGTTGTTGTTTGGGAAGACTAATGTGTTTGACCGTCTGTGCGTTCCCAATAGCGAAGAGATCCGCAGTTTGGTTTTAGGGGAATGCCACGATACTGAAGGGCATTTCGGTTGGCAAAAGACATTAGCCAACCTGATGCGTGCGTATACCTGACCAGGGATGAAGAATGATTGCATAGAGTATGTCCGCAGTTGTAAAGTGTGCCAGAGAAATATGTCTACTACACGCGCACCCTTAGGTCTTCTCAAGTCCTTGCCTATTCCGGATCAGCCGGGAGACTCAGTGTCTATAGACTTCATGGACACGCAAGTCAAGAGTAGATATGGTAAGAGCCAAGTCATGGTCATAGTCGACCGTTTTAGTAAATATGCAGTTTTTGTTCCCTTGCCTACAGAGGCACGTACAGATTTAGTAATACAGAAGTTCTTTGACTTTTAGATTAGTGAGAATGGAATCTCATTGTCAATAGTTAGTGATAGGGACAGTCGCTTCACCAGCCAGAACTGGCAAGAACTAATGAGAGTCTACGGATCTAAGTTGTTAATGTCGTCCAGCCGCCACCTAGAGACTAACGGTCAGACAGAACAGATGAACAAGATCTTACAGCAAGTTCTGCACATGTACATTAGACCAGATCAGATTAACTGGGATGAGATGTTGCCTAAAGTAGCTAGTACATACAACAACAGCGTGCATCTATCCACCTGCCGCACTCCTAATGAGTTGCACAAGTCCTTTAGACCACGCAGACCGTTCGAAGGACTGAACCGGGATCAGATTCACAGACTACCGCCCGGAACCAGGGAGTTTGCTCTGCAGCATGAGAAAGAGTTAGCAACTGTTGTTGAGAACCTCAGAAAGACCCAACATAGAATGATAGAATAGGCTAATAAGCATCGTCGCCCCTCACAGTTTCAAGTAGGTGACTTAGTCTGGGTCAAGTCTAAAGAGTTTGCACCTGAGGAGCACATCTCGCAGAAGTTATTGCCTGCCTATAGAGGACCGTGGCCGGTATTAGAAGTCAAAGGCGGAGAGGATGGACCGTCCTATACTATAGAGATCCCAGCACACCTCCACACGTACCCAGTCTTCCATGCTTCCAAGTTGCTGCTGTGTGTCACAAGTGAACAGTTCCCCTCGAGAAGATATATGATCCCTCCAGATATGGATGGACAATACGACATTGACGACATTGTAGACGAAGATGTGTTTAGAACAGGAGGTAGAGGTCGTCCCCAAAAACAATATAAGGTTCGGTTTGCCTACCAGCAGTCGGAAGACGACCGCTGGTTCAGAAGAACAGAACTGTTGGAGACAGCCYCTGACATAGTGAGGGCTTACGAACGAGATAAGAAAGGTAAAAGTTCAGTCTTGGATTGAAATATTCTCGGAGGACCTCGAATTTAGGACGGTGGGCGTGAAACAGTTTTCACCTTTGGCAGTAGCCGATGSAGATCCCAGGGGTCGATCCCTTGACCTCAGCTTACCTGTGTACAGTATCTGCACAGTTCCCTGGAGTTGAACCCGTGATCTGCACGATAACCAGTGGTAAGTAGGTCGTCGTAGGTTGTAGGCTGTAGGGAGATTCGAACTGTAGACCTGTAAGGTAGGAGTCCAAGTAGAGTCCAGAGGCCTAG